AGTATGGTTTGAAGTCTGGTAAATTGATACCTCCTATTTTGTTTTTATTGCCTGGGATTGATTTTGCTATAAAGGGTCTTCTCTGGTTCCATACGAAGTGTAAAACTATTTTTTCTATATCTTTGAAAAATGATGATGATATTTTAATAGGGATTGCATTGACTCTATAGGTCACTTTGGGTAGTATAGACATTTTAACGGTGTTGATTCTGCCAACCCATGAGCATGGTATATTCTTCCACCTGTTTACATCCTCTTCTATTAGAATGGCCAATTTAAAACAGTGTAAACATGTATCAGAAATTGTATGGGAGATGGGGAGGGAGTCTAAAGAGTTAACATAATTTAGAATCTTAACTGAATTAAAGCTTCTAAATTCCTGATAGGAGAATTTAGTATTTTACATTGAAGTGTGATTTAACTGAAAATTTTTGAAGTATGAAATAACTGAAAATTTTAAATAAAGATTTTATTAGATTATGGCCTAGAACAGAACTGTCCCTGACAAATTATAAGACAGTAAGTATAATGCAATAGGTGAAAGGCTAAGGAAATATGACCAGAAGTATATTTTGTTAATGCAAAGAAATTTTGGGTAATTGTTATGAACAGTAATTAGACTTGGAATTTAACTTTGACAAATAGAAACATCTCACTGATGTCCCTTGGTTTAGAAAAAGAAAACAATATGTGGTTTATCTTTGTAAAAATTGCCTTTTTGTGTTCAGTTTTTCCTTTTTCTTTAAAATATAGGAATTTAACATGGTTTACAAAAGAAAAGTCATTTCTGGAACAAAGTAGCTTAAATTACTTATCTGTTGAATATTTTATATTACAAAGATAAAAGAATTGATTATAGTTTTGCTGGAATCTTTTAACAAAATTAGCAGTATATATTCCTCAATCCTTATTGCCTCCCACCCCACCCCTTGAATAACTTGGAAAAAGAAATAACTTACTAATAATAACTGATAAGGAAGTCTCACTGCAATTTTGTGCACTTAGAAAACCATTTAAGGAATCTTAGTAAGCATTAAGGGCATCTCTGGAGGGAATGAGAATGTGTTGTGTTATGAGGCAGGCTACCAATGATGAATAGAGTTATGGTACCAGGAGTGGTAAGAAAGAATGCTTTAAGAAAAGCAAGATCCGTAAGTAGCAGTAGCTTTGGAACATGAGTGGGGATCTGTGTGTATCTTTATTTTCTTTTTAGAGACCTAAAGGATTTTAAAAATGGCACTGATACCTTTTATGCCTGGATTCTAAATATAGACCATAATTCTTAAGTTTTTAAAAAAAATTCAAGAACCTTGACAGAATAATTGTCAATTAGAATTTTTATGAATTCAAATGAATCAAATTGATAGTTATTAATATTGTTACAAATAGAAAACTTTCCTGTTACGTTTGAAAAGCCAAATATCGGGCAGTTTATTTCTATTTTCAGTTATATTAAATCAAGATACTTCCTAGAAGTAATCTTTAACCCTTTGCACTCACTTGCTTTTTTCTTGATTCCTTTATTCTACTCAGGATTTAATTTTTTTACAAAGTGTGGCAGTAGAATAAAAAGCTGAGTTTCTTTAATACAAACTTATTTATTTGGATTTTTTTATATTTCAAATTATTGATACATTCAAAGAGTAATTTTAATCTCTGTAATTTTTGCTAACTGTGTCAAGTCACATTCGACATCCGCGTGCAAAGGGTTAAAATTGATACAGAGAAAGATAAAGAATATAGGCTGGGCATGGTGGCTGAAACCTGTAATTCCAGCAGTTTGAGAGGCTCAGGTGGGAGGATTACTTGACGCCAGGAGTCCGAGACTAGCCTGGGCAATAATAGCGAGACCCCATCTCTACAAAAAATAAAAAAATAGGCCGAGTATGGTGGTGTGCACTTGTAGTCCTAGCTACTCGGGAGGCTGAGGTAGGAGGATCGCGTGAGCCCAGGAGTTCCAGGCTGCAGTGAGCTATGACCATGCACTGCACTCCAGCCTGGGCAACAGAGTGAGGCCCTGTCTCTAAAAATAAAAAAAAGAAAGAATATGGCTATCTTTGCCTCTGATTGTTTCTGAAATGATGAAGTATATTCCTATCTGTAAAATCAGTAAGATATTTTGTAAAACATATTAAATTTTTTAGTTTTCTCAATATTATTCCTGAATATTTTGAATAGGCTCTTTTTGTAAGCCAATTAACTATACCCATTATTTCTTATTAAATAGTTCTATTAGTGTAGCCATATTAAAAAAGTGGTATTAATGTGGACTACCATCTGTGGCCATAGTCCTTCTTTTTAAAATAGACTTAATTTTTTTAATAGTTTTAGGTTCACAGCAAAATTGAGCCATAGTCTTTTCTTATACTGATCAGACATCATGGTAGTATTTATTAAAAGGAATCTGTCTCTACTATCAATTGCAGCATATACACAATATGTAGTTTGCAATCTCATATTGATTTGCTTTTTTATAATTGTCTATTTTTAAAGTATTACCATTTGGACTGAATGTAACATGTATAGTTTCATTATGAAAGAATTTACTAAGTAACCAAAGTGAAGCATGAAATAGCAACGGGTTTTACTGGCACACTAATAGAGAAGAGGCATTTTTTGAAATCTTTTTCATGTCCTGGGAATAGGAGTGTGAATGTGTGTCTTGTGATTTGTTATTCTGTTTTTACTACTTTGGGATTGAAGGCTTTTATTTGTGTATTTCATATTTTGGCAGCTTCAAACAGGACAGGAATTTTTAGGTCTGTTTTGAAAAAGCTGTGACATGAGTGTTGGACACATACACATGCCAAAGATACGTGTAAATTATTGAAGCTTCAAAGAGATGTTTGCTTTTACAGAGAGTATATATATACACACTTCTCTCTGTTTTTATTTAAAGTAACTTTCATCCTAATTAATGCATGAGCTAATTATAAATTCCAAAGTATGTGTATAACATAGTTAACATGCACTTATGGGGGAAAGCATAGAAACCCTACAATATCAAATTTCTGATTGTAAAATAATAATTTACTATGCCTCATTTCTCCAGTGATAAAATTGACTAATCTTTAAACTGGCACTTTTTACTCTTGGGAGGGAAGAGTCGGGGTTATCTTAGTTTGAGCTACTGTAAAAGAATCCAGCACCACAAAGTTTGCATTTTCAATTTCAATAAAATTATTTCTTTTATATCAGCATTATGAAAACTTAATAGTTTGGTATATCTTGCACTTTCAGAAAGTTCTCTTAATAGCTAATATAATTGAAGTGCATGTTGATATTTAAATTAAGAAAAAATTCTTACAATCTCTGTATTTTAATATATCCTGTCATCTAGGGCCTAGATGATATTAGTTAAGTGCATGGCTTCGGCATGCATTAGTGATATTTTCAAAATATATTTTTTAGGTTTTTTGGGGGGGTGTCTGATATAGTTTTAAAATTTTATTATGGAAAACTTTAAACATTTACAAAGTAGAGAGAATTGTATAATGAACCCTTATGTATTTATCTCATGTCCTTACTAGTTTAATATCATGTCCAATTTTATATACATACTCCTCCCATTCCTTTTCTTTCTTCTTCCCCAGTGATTGGGAAGGAAATCCAAGACACTCCGTAATTTCATTGATAAATATTTCAGTGCATAACTCTAAAAGTGAGTGCAAGTTATTTGTATCCCCTGTGAGTACTAGCTAGCTTTGTTGTAGAGAGGAAGTCACAAGTGCTTGAAAACAGGCCTGTCATTGCATTTTATTATAGTTAATTTGCATTTAGAAAGATCAAGAATTTGTATTACTTGGATATTATTACAGTAATCCTCAAAGGATTTGAAATGTTGATTCTGTAAATGACATTTATGAAAACATTATGAATTACCATCCTATATATATGAAGTTATGTGACAGTCCCCATTGTAGAGCTAACCTACAGTTTGCTTTGTCATTTGCTTATGCCCCCTCCAGCTTGTTTATTGGAGTGCTGAGAAACAGGCAGCATTTAACATTTAATTTCAGGTGACATTCTTTAAACCTCTGTGAGTGTCATAAAAAAGAGAAAGGTAAAGGAAAAGGGAGAGGGGGAGAGAGAAAAAGGAAGGAAGGCGGGAAGGAAAGGGATGTGGGACCAAGAAAAGAGAAAGGATAGAACAGGGTGAATGTCACAGCCAAGGTGCCAAATTATGGAGATGCACTTCATCCTTTCCTTACTAACCCAATCTCCTCTCTTGGTCTTCACTTTTTTTTTCTTTTTGAGATGGAGTCTTGCTCGGTCACCCAGGCTAAGTGCAGTGGTGTTATCATAGCTCACTGTAGCCTCAAACTCCTGGGCCCAAGCCATCCTCCTGCCTCAGCCTCCCAAGTAGCTGGGACTATATAGGTGTACAACCCCACGCCTGGTTAATTTTTCTGTTTTTTGTAAAAATGAGATCTTGCTTGCTATGTTGTCCGGGCTGGTCTCAAACTCCTGGCCTCAAGAGATCCTCCCGCTTTGGCCTCCCAGAGTGCTGGGATTACAGGCATGAACTCATCTTGACTTTTTTCTCTCTCCCTTTTCTTGATCCACACCCCCCTTTTGGTTTCTATTTTTTTCCTCTTTTGGCATTTACTAAACTTTACCTGTCACATTTAGAGTTAGGAAGATTGCTGATTCCTCCCTTAAAGGGTGTTTTTATTATGTAGAGGTTGTGAGATAAAACATAAACAAAGTATTTTAAGACTAATGTATTGTGCTTTATTTGCTTTCATACAGATTTTTAAGAATGTTTTTAAAGCTAATTCAAATAGTTGTGTACGTATTATGGGCTAGGTTGAACCTTTCTATATACTCTGTGGATGAATTATACAAATGTATGAAGACACTGATTTAATATAGATTTTTGGGTTTACTTTAGATGCTTTTACTGGAAAATTGTGTAATAGTTTTTCCTGTTTCTCTTTGTTCTTTTTTGCTGTCCATTTATTGGATGAAATTGATTCTGTTCGAATTTGAATCTGCAGTTCACCAGATTCCTTTGCAGTTCACCTTTGGAGGTAAGAATTTACTCACTGACCTTAGTGCTAGTGTTGCTAATTGGATACCGCTATTGGTATCTTTCATTAGACATTTATTTGATAATTTAGGGGTGATCATTTTAGTTTGACACATATATTCTTCAATAACAGTAATGGGGTAAATGTAGCCTTTTTTTGAATAAAAGTTGCTAGAAGTTACAGCTATTCATAACAGGTCATTGCCTCTTTTTATAAGTACATTTTCTTCTTCAGTGTGTAGAGAGAAATCAGTCCTTCATTTTAAAGAGCCTCATTGGATCTGTATAACTCCCATAACATTTTGTTTAACATCAGCCTTATTCTCTATAAATTGACCTGGTATTAAAAGAGACCTGGAGAAATCACAGACAAAGGCTGTCATCAAGGAAGTTTTGTTGGTTCGGGAGACCATTTTAAAATCTGTGAATTGGTAAGAGAAGAGCAAAAAGGACTTAGCTTTATTGAGCTTCTGTTGTAACACAGGCACTATTCTGGGCTCCTTTTTTCATTTAATCCTCATCATGGTTCTCAGTAGGACTGAGAATACAGTTTTAAAATTATGAGATAAAGAAAAATTATTAGGTGGTTACAGAACCAGATATCATTGTGAGCTATGGTTGCAAAAGACCTTACAGATGATGTGTGAGACTTGGAAAAAAACCTAGAAAAGGGGAGGAGGTGACAAGACTTGGAACCAAACCTGGGTCTAAGAGCATGTGTCCACGTACTAGCCATGTGACACTGGCAAATCACAATTTTCCTGAGCCTCAGTTTTCTCCTATCTTTGAAACACAAATGATAATTTGTGCCTGTCACATGAGGGAGTGGAAATGGGAGCAGTTATAAACTGTACTATTCAAGTCAGTGATGTTTTGTATTCTCCTGTTAAGCTGCACTTTAGCCCCACACGATGAGACTCTGTTCCTTCCCTTTGTGTCCGTTATTTCACTTTATGCTCCCCTTCCCCATTTCTGGCTTGCTCAAATCATATTCCTCTACAGGGTTGATGCTGTGTCCCCTGTAGACCATCTCTGACCTCTCCACATGGAGGCAGTTGTTTCCTTTTCTGCATCTATAACACTGTGTTCATTTGATTATTGAAGCTATTAATGTTATTGTTGATGATGAGGCCCATATTGTTGTTGATGGTGGCCCAGCCTGGCATGTTGGATGTACATGGTGGCCAGTCTGAGTGATCACCAGGAACATGGGCAAGACTAGGAGGCTAGTCCCATCCAGGTTTGGTATCCAGGATCAGTGGGGAAGCAAAGTGACATAGTGGTGGAAAGATTCTGGGCTATGAAATGAGGGGGGGGACTTGGGTAGCCTATGGACAAGTCATGTGATCCTTCTCAGCTGCCATTTTCTAATCTAAAAATGGAGATAATAATACTTACAGGTCATTAAAATTAAATGAGTTGATTTGTGGCAAACACTGAGCACCATGCCTGCCACACAGTCTTAGATAAGAGATAGGTATAATGCTAAAACCAAACCATAATAAACTTAAAGACGATTTAAATTTTATAATCCGCTCTTTAGTTGAGGAAGCATGTCCTAACTACAGAAGCAATTGGAAGTTTCACAAAGGAAAAGATAAAAATATTAATTTGATTATGTAAAGATCCATATTTTTGTGCATAAAAACAAATATAGCTAAAAGGCAATTTGGACAAAGTATGATAAAAGGGTTATTAACCTTTTAGAATCAAAAAGCTAATTTCTTTTGCATACAATTTTGTTGCATTGTTCTTTGCTGCATCAGGTAGTTGATGAGATGAAATACAAATGGTAATAAATGTGTTTTAAATGTTGAACCCTATTAGTAATCAAAGAAATGCAGCTTAAAACAACATACAATTTTTTACCTGTTAAGATTTTCTTTTTGTTTTTAAGTGGATGCTTGAGAAGATGTGATGAGGTGGGATGTTTATAAACTTCATCCTTTATAGAAACTTCGTCATATACATTAAAGGCTTTATATACATTCATACCTTGTGGTCACATAATTCTATTCTAAAAATCACTGCCAGAGAGGTAATCAAGAGAAGATAAAATTTGCATTAAAATGTTTATTATAGCTTTATTTATAATGATAAAATACATTGTAAACAAACTAAATATCCAGCAGTAGGAAAAGGTCAAATAAATTATGACACAGCCAAATGATAGAACACCCTACAGACATTCAAATGGAGATTATGAATATGTATGTTTATGTGTAAATGACGAATAAGTATAAAATGCTTTTGATATATTAGGAAATAAAAGGATTCAAAATTATACATGTAGGTTCTCAACTTAAAAACCATTTTAGCACATAGCAGTTATGAAGGAGATACACAAAATGTTAACAACAACTACAAAATGTTAAATTGTTTTACCCTCTAATCTTCCAATAAAGGGCCCACAATGGATCGAGGTATGTTGATCACTTTTTGGCAATGGTCTTTGTAATCAATGTTTGACATATGTATGTCAGGAAAGTGTGTTTGATATAGAAACAGGGTCTGCCCTTGAAAAAAAGGGGCTGGCAGGAACTTAGATGAAGAGATAATGTTGATTATGTTTAAGGCTGGACCCTTATTTCAGCAAGAGTTTGGGGGAGTGACTAGGAATAAGGGCTTCTAGCAGAGGGTAATTAGGCTGGATTGGCTTCTCTGCACAGGATTGAATAAGAAGATTGGAACTTCATGTCCACTTCACTGGGGCAAGTAACAATTTGAAGATATTACTAACCAATGGCAGAACTACTTCTAAATAGACTTCATCGATAGACTTCTCTCAAACAAGCTCAATGAGAGAGGACCCTGTTTTTGTTTCCTTGTGTTTCCATTCTTAGTATAACTAAGTAGTACATAGTAGGCACTGACTCAATAAATATTTGTTGAACGAATGAATGAGCGAATGAATGAGGCCAGAAGTAGCAGTATTATGTATGTAATTTGATAGGATTCAGCTGGAAGCAGACAAAGTCTAATATTTGTATTTTAATATGGTTAATAGTCTGCTCAGCTAGATTATAGCTACTTAAGATTGGGAGCTTTGTCATTTTCATCTTTGGATGCTCTCAGTGATAGGGCTTGGAGTGTACCAACTACACCTGAGTATACCAAACACTTTTTTTTTTTTTTTTGAGACAGAGTCTTGCTCTGTTGCCTGGGCTAGAGTGCCGTGGCATCAGCCTATCTCACAGCAACCCCAAACTCCTGGGCTCAAGCAATCCTCCTGCTTTAGCCTCCCAAGAGGTAGGCATAACAGGCATGCACCACCATGCTCAGCTAATCTTTTATAATTTTCGTAGAGATGGGGTCTAACTCTTGCTCAGTTTGGTCTCGAACTATTGACATCAAGTGATCTTCCTGCCTCGGCCTCCCAGAGTGCTAGGATTATAGGTGTTAGCCACTGCACTGGGCCACAGATAAATATTTTTAAATTATCTCTTACTACTTTGGTTAGATATTTGGAACAGGTGTATGGAAGCTTTTTTTCTTTGTGAAAAGTAGAAGGGAAAGTATCATGTTCAAAGTTTAGTGATAGTTTCTGTCCTTTTCTGCTTTGTCTGCTTAATGATCTGGAATTTTACCTTGGCTAAATTGATCTTTTTTATTACTGAGCTTACGGACATGAGGGAGGAAGAGAAATAAAACTTAAAGATGACCAGTGTGCTTCTCTTTTCTTGATGGGAGATACTTTGAGTTCTTTCTGTTGATATTTTTCTAATTTGGAATTCCACAGGCGCCACTGGATGATTTTGTTAGTGGCCCCTACCCACCGATCTCCTCCGGCAGGGCTGAGCTCAGGGTGCTATTCCTTTGTCACCATGTGTGGTGGCACCTGAGAGCCAGCGCTGAGCCAGGTGGAAGAATATTGGAAGTCTCTAAATGTTTGATTTTGCCATTAAATTTCTAATTTAGCTGGAGAAGGAAAATTACAAATATGGTAAATCCCAGCACCTTTTAAAATTTTGTATAAAAGAAAAGTCATTCTGTTACAGACATTAAAATCACGAGACTTGGAATTGAAAAGAAAGTAGGCTTTAAACTTACTTCGCTTTCACCACAAAAACCACTATGAATGAACCATGTCCCTTTGTTATAAGTCCTAAACAGTTAACTGCCACATGAATCTAATGAAATTGTCAGGTTATAGTAATTACATCAGTAATTTGATATGTTGTCATTTGAATGGACCATGTGTGCAGAGTCAGTTACTTCCCTCTGTGGGGCTGACCCTTTTACATTCCTGTAAGCTGAAGACTAATAGAGCTCATTAAGCTTTATGGGAAAAGAGCTTTTATCACCTCGTCAAGTCAGGCAACATATTTCCATTATATTCCTAATTTCATGTGGCTCTGTAGCTGCTGATGTGCACTCCCCTGCTAGGTTTACATCGGACCTCTGCCTTACAGACATTTTTATTGACATTTCTTAGTCTGAATTACATTTGTGTGGCACCGCTTACAGATGTCTTCAATTAAATGTAGGTAAATAAAAGGGATTATATATCAGAGGCCAAAAGATTCTTGAAATTCTCTTTGGAGTCAGACTTTGCCAGCCAGTCCAGTAGGGTGCAGTCTCATCATCATTTCTGGAGGGAGAGATCTACAGGAGAGGCATTTATGATGAATGTCAAACCATGTATGAGTACAGGTCACTTAGGTTTCTCTTCAGGTATGTCCTATTGCTTCATTTCAGATCGGTTAAAGTCTTTTGTATTAACAGTTATGATAATAACTTATTGAGAATTTAGCTCTTATGGTGTACTGGTTCTGTGCTTAGCACTTTTCTTATTTTAATTCTTACAGAATGTCTATGAAGTAGATAGTCTCAATTTTCTTATGAAGAAAATTGAACCCAGAGAGGTAGATTAGGTGCTCAGTATCACAACTACTAGTATGTGACAACAGTCACAAGACAGGAAAGAGGAAATGGAATGATACTGCGTTAAGATTCTAACATTACAGGAAGTGATACATTATTTGAAAGAAGACAGTAATA